AGACCACCAGTACACTGACCAAACGTAAAAACTCTCTCCGATTAAGAAGCAGGCCACAGCCTCCATGAGTGTTATTTTAGTTATTTTTCTATCTATGTGACTTTACTCTTTGGTTCTTTCGGTAAAGTCACGTAGTTAGAAATAAAATCAAATAAAACAAATCACGACGTTTCGATCGCAACACAAGCGGTCGTCACCAATAATTATAGTACTTACCTGACAGTGCAGTGGTGAGGCCTAGTCCCGTGCAGAGCCCCCAGCCTCGCCTATATTGCCCAGTGGCCGAGGTGGCACCTTGGCAGGCTGGGGGTGGGCTGCTACCCCCCCCCACCCGCTCTACAGTAATAGTACGTAAGCGCTATAATATCAGTATCTACCGACCCTAATTGCACACATTGGGGTGGGGGGGGGGTAGAAGAGAACATCACACTTTAAAGAATGTACCTCAGTCTTGTGTGTTTTTGTTGCATTTTTAACGCGAATGAAAATCCCCCCCCCGCTCCAAGAACGCGTGTGCATTGCTAGGGGCAACCACGTCTATGCTTTATCGCGCATGCGCAGATGCGTGCTTTGGTGCGCGCTCAGTGATGTAATGAAATAAATAATACTAAATTGGTAATTAAACTACTTTAAAGTTGACGGATGCGAAATCAGAATCGTGCTGGCTCACCACGGGGCTTATCACGTGGTACCTGAGAACTTTTAAAAACTTATACCCCACGGTTCATGAGCCAAATCCTTCGCAAGTCTCGTCTACACACAGATTGACAAACATGCCTTTTATAGGTAAGAAAATACTAGCAGGAAGTACCCGGCGTTGCCGGGGGAAAAATATATTTCAAAACTTGTCTTAAAAACATAACATATACATAAACAAGTACTAAGCTATTGTGAAAGCCCAACATTCCGTTTGTCTGTCCATTTGTCCATCAATACAATTTAGAGGCTTGAAGAAGTCCTGAATCAAAAAGGATAAATAGTTGATGTAAAAGTTTTCCGAAAATTGTCGACCTCCCCCCTACCCCCCTCAAAATATACTTTTACCCCCCTGTAGGCATATATATGTACACACCCTACATACAATAGAATGAGTAGTGTCTAGTGACTCTATAGTAGTATCTGTCTCTACAGTAGTATCTGTCTCTACAGTAGTATCTACAGGCTGTATAGTAGTATCTACTCACTCCACAGTAGTATCTACCGACTCTATAGTAGTAACTACTAACTCTATAGTAGTATCTGCCGACTTTAATAGAAGTATCTGCCGACTTTATAGTAGTATCAACCAACTCTATAGTAGTAAATACTGACTCTACAGTAGTATCTAATGACTATCGTAGTATCTACTTAATCTATAGTATCTATTGACTCTAAAGTAGTATCCACTCACTATAGTAGTATCTACTAACTCTATAGCAGTAACTACTGACTCTATGGTAGTATCTGCAGACTATAGCAGTATCTGCTGACACTATAGCAATATCTACTAGCTCTATAATTGTATATATCGACTCTATATCAGTAGTGCACTGGCTGTAGTAGCTACTATCCCTACAGTAGTATGTACTGTCTGTAGTAGTTACTATCCCTACAGTAGTATGTACTGGCTGTAGTAGTATCTAATATCACTACAGTAGTATGTACTGGCTGTAGTAGTATCTACTATCACTACAGTAGTGTGTACTGGCTGTAGTAGTAGCTATACTAACTCTATAGCAGTGTGTACTGGCTGTAGTAGTAGCTAAATTAACTCGATAGCAGTGTGTACTGGCTGTAGTAGTAGCTATACTAGGTCTATAGTAGTGTGTGCTGGCTGTAGTAGTAGCTATACTAACTCTACAGCAGTGTGTAATGTGCGTAGTAGTAGCTATACTAACTCTACAGCAGTGTGTACTGTGCGTAATATTAGCTATACTAACTCTATAGCAGTGTGTACTGGCCATAGTAGTAGCTATGCTAACTCTATAGCAGTGTGTACTGGCCATAGTATTAGCAATACTAACTCTATAGCAGTACGTGCTGGCTGTAGTAGTAGCTATACTAACTCTATAGCAGTGTACTGGCCGTAGTAGTAGCTATACTAACTCTATAGCAGTGTGTACTGGCTGTAATAGTAGCTATGCTAACTCTTTAGCAGTGTGTACTGGCCATAGTATTAGCAATACTAACTCTATAGCAGTTCGTGCTGGCTGTAGTAATAGCTATACTAACTCTATAGCAGTGTACTGGCCGTAGTAGTAGCTATACTAACTCTATAGCATTTGTGTACTGGCTGTAGTAGTAGCTATACTAACTCTATAGCAGTGTGTACTGGCCTTAGTAGTAGCTATACGAACTCTATAGCAGTGTGTACTGGTCGTAGTACTAGCTATACTAACTCTATAGCAGTGTGTACTGGCCGTAGCAGTAGCGATACTAACTCTATAGCAGTGTGTACTGGCTGTAGTAGTATCTATACTAACTCTATAATAGTATACTCTTTGGTTCTTTCGGTAAAGTCACGTATGTATAAAATAAAATAAATCACGACGTTTCGGGCACAACACAAGCGTCCGTTATCAGGTGGGAAAGCATGGTCTGCTGCTGAGGCAGACTGTTTTAAAAGGTTTGAAATGGGTGTAGCCCAAGGGTCATAAAGAAGTGCTGGGGCTAGTGATGTTAACGTGAGAAATTAGCATGTAACTGTAAGATAGGAGAGGGGCCTCCTCGATGAGGGCACGGAAGTGGCTGTGTTAGTGTGAGAGCTTAGCATGTTAATGTGAAATCGAAGAGTAGTGCAATCAAAAGCGGCCTCCTAAACGAGGGCATGGAAGTGGTTATGCTAATGTGAATGTAAAATCGAAGGGTGGTGCAATCCAAAGGCATGAGTGCAACCCAAAGGGTGCAATCCAAAGGGCGCAATCCAAAGGGCATGTGAGCATGAGAGTGCAATCCAAAGGCATGAGAGTGCAATGCGAAGGACATGTGAGCATGAGAGATCTAAGAGAGAGACATAGAGAGAGAGACACAGAGAGTCAGAAATAACAGCTGACATAGGCAGGTAGGATGGAAACATCACATTCAGTTAAGACTTTACCTGGTTAATAACGTCCTTCCAATGATTGCTCAGTTTGTACCCATCCTCTCGGTTGAAGTTGTGTCTGTGTTTATATATCTTGATGGCTTCATGAACAAATCTCTGAAGGTAGCCGGTAGGTTTGCTGAGTACTTCCGTCTTGGAAAAATCAATTTCGTGTGAGCCCACAGCGTTAAAACAATGATCAGCAACAGCAGAGGTATTGGTCCTACCGTGTTTCAGATCTGCCTTGTGTTCACGAATGCGGTCCGAGACATGTCGTTTCGTTTCTCCAATGTAACTGCTGCCGCAACCACAACTCAGTTTGTAGACACCAGGGTATTGCTTGTCAGGAATCACATCCTTTACAAATGGGATTAAGTCACATATTTTGTATACTGTGTGGAAACGAACCTGGTTCATGTGTTTGTTTAAGATTTTGGAAATATTTTTGGTAACCCCTGCTATGTACGGTAAAGTGATGGTTTTGGTTGGATCCTCAGAAGGTTGTCTCCACGCATGGCTGTGGTGACAGCTTTGCGGATGGTATGGTTCGAGTATCCGTTCATCCTGAGGGCTTGGTGTACGTGCTCCAACTCACTGGCTAAGTGGTGCTGGTTGGAGATGCAACGGGCCCTATGGTGTAGTGTTTTGATGAGGGAATTCTTCTGGGCTGGATGGTGGTGGGAGTCAGGCTTTAGATAGGCATCCGTGTGGGTGGCTTTCCTGTAAACCGAATGTCCCAACGAGCCATCAGGTCTCTTCTAGATCAAAACAATCAGGAATGGTAGCTTGCCATCCTATAGATAGAAAAATAATAAAAAATAAAGTGAAAAATAAATAAAAAAAGAAATATAAATAATAAAGAAACTAATAACCATTAATGTAGACTGTAGCCTGGTTTTTTTTTATCGAAGTGAGTGTACTGGCAGTCTATAATGTAGACTGCAGCCTGGTTATTAAGTTTGGTGAGTGTACTGGCAGTCTATAATGTAGACTGTAGCAATGGTTATTAAGAACCAAGAATAAGTCTATATTATAGACTGCCAGTACGCTCACTCAGTTTAAGAACCAGGCTACAGTAGACATTACAGACTGCCAGTACGCTTCTAAAAATTCCTTGACATACTCAAATATTCCGCTCCCTTTGGTCTTTCTATCATCCAGTAATAAGTTATGACCTTGGTCCGAAACGTCGTGATTTATTATTTTATTTCTATTATTACTTTAATTAATTTTAATTTTATTTTTTACCTACGTGACTTTACCGAAAAAACCTAAGAGTGTGAATCCTTGCAGTCACGAAAGCTTCAAATCTAGAATCCCTAAACATTGTTGAGGAATCTTCTTGGTTCTTTCGGTAAAGTCACGTAGAAGGGAAGTAATAAAATACTAAAAATAAAACATAATAAAATAATTCACACGACGTTTCGGCCACAACGCAAGCAGCCGTCCTCATGAATCCCTGCAGTCACGAAAGCTTTAAATCTAAATTGTTGAGGAAAGCAAGGGGAAAACCCTCTTGTTATATTCCATAAATACAGCCCATAAGGCCTAGTAGGGAGTGAGGTGTTGTGAGGTAAGGGGGGCAGTGGGATGGATAGGATGAATGGAACTTGAACCAAGAACGTGCCTTTGCACAGAACCAGAGATTGACACCACTATACTATTTAAAACACATGTGACCAAATGTACTTGTTAAAAAAGAAATAGTAATTCTGATGTTTTTAAACCCAACCTAGACAATAATCTTGTTTTGGTTAATAAGGTGCAATTAGTGACCACTCCATGTAATTATCTAATGCTAGACTCAATGCCTTGTTTATAATTTATGGCTGACAGGATCATGTTGAATAATATCTCTTTAAAATAAAGTAATATTTTAAAATAACTATTTGTAATTCCACGCTTGTTAACAATGCAGTGTTGGTTTGTTTTTCAACAGGTCGTGTCAATAGGCCAGGTGCTAGAGGCTGGTGTGGCTCGCTTTCCACAATTTACGCTGACTCCCTCAAGTGCCTGGGGTCCTGTAGTCTTCATCATCGTATATTATGGAACAGACGATGGCTACATCGTCCATGAAAGTGTACAGCTGAGGGTGCAGGACTTGGAGAACAAGGTGAGGCTAGACCATGCTGGACTGCTTCTCTAAAGTGCCATACTCACTTGAGAGACGTGGCCGAATGGTAGGGAGTTGGTCCTTGTTTTAGAGCTTTGTAAGTCAAACATAGCGGCTGCCATAGTGAACGTTGCAGGTGTACTATCCATTAAAACATGCCAACCGCTTTATAATGGGTGTTAATTTCCCTGTGACTTTATTTTAAAGAGGCCACGTGTACTAGCATCATTGTCCAGATTTGATCAATTATAAATTATCCCATTGGGAAATCACTATATACAACATCATGTGCCTATTGGCATAATAATGCCCATTTATTGGCTGGTTCTGCATGCAACTTGTGATGGACAGAAACAGCTGTAACTGTGGATTCCCTTGATTAGACTGCAGCAAGAAAGTGGAATGTCGAGGTGAGATGTGATGTTAAGGTGATTTGAGTTGCTGAGATATTGTTGCCTTGTATAAATTAAATCCCTATTCTTACAAGGTTATAATTAACATCAACCTTGATGCCTTAAGACCAGTCCTTGGCATTGGGATCATCTCGAACATTTTATCAGGTCTCATCCTTGGCCTAGGGGGTGTGACTCTGGTCTGAGGACTTGGCTTAGAGACACCAGCCTTAACATTTACCTTAGCAGAGAGGATCTGGCTTTGGATGAACTTGACACTGGCCTTGACCTAAAAGGCTTCCAGACGTTGCCTTGGACTGGCCTCATGTCTCTCAGTCTCAAACTCAGCCTCGGATTCTGGTTTTGAGCATATCTCTCGGGTTCCAGCCTTGAATCCAAGAATGATTAGCACATGTCATGTGTTGTCCTGACTGGCGGACACAACTTGACTTAATTGTCACTTTCGCAGGTGGAGGTGAAGTGGAGCACAACAACAGCTCAACCTGGGACTAGTGTGAGCCTGCAAGTCACAGCCTCTGACCCCCAGTCATTTATTGGTGTCATTGCGGTTCCAGCAAATTTATTTAGAGACTACCCAAGCCAGTTCTCCTCTCTCCTGGTGAGATACGGAGGTCACTGTTATCATACACTCTTCATTCTACAGTAGATGCATTCAAGTGATGACTATTTATTTTCAAGTGCGAAATGTCCGCAGTTGTATGATAACAAATGTGCATTCTACCTATCGCCAGAAAGGGCAAGTTGTATGGGGATGCCAGTTATTTTTTTCCCCTGGAAACGTTATTTAACCACAATCTACGTTGTATGTTTACATGATGCTTTGTGTGACGACACTTATTTGCCAACCGTGCTAATCTGAGAATTGTAATTACAATTGGACTTGGGTTTTGTAGACTATGAAAAATACTTTGACTCAGAAGAAATTGATTCAGTCATCCAAGCTCTCACAAACTAAGACATAAGTAAAACATATTTAGAAATAACATTTCAAAATATAACAGCCACACTAAGATTACATGAAGAAAGTACCAAAATATATATTAAAAGCAAAGTCAGTCAAGGAGAAGTTTATGAGCTACATTAAAATATATTTAATTATTTTTACTGGATACATGAATACATTTACATTGAAAGTATTAGCCATTTCATATTTACTGAATACATTAATCATAATGTTGAATGGGGATAGCAGCAGCATAATGTAGGAACTGGATAAAATAGGAAATTTAGTGGACACGTCTGCTAGGTTTATTTCCAATAATAATTCCTGCTACGTTGATGATGTCCACAGTTATACCACTATTCATAATGCACAATGACATATTTACTTGTTCAAGTGTGCAATCTGGAACTGGTTCCGCTTCATCTGAGAGATGGTCATGTTCTCGTGCTATTTGACTTGTTTTGCGAAAGAGACATTCATACCATGCTTCCACTAATTTGAATATTCTATCATTATCATGAGTTATGGGGGGTATTTCTGTGTGGAAATATGGGGAAAAAATTCCATTGACCTCATTTTGCTTTTGAACATTCTGGGTTTAAGACTATGTTATCTCTTAACTGCCTAAGCATATTTCTACCCATTTTCAATGCACTCTATCCCATAGGCATATACACGCTTTATCTAAACTTAGCTATGCCCTTTATCTGGCTATACTGAAGTGCAACTCACATCACACCAATCTGTGATCACTTTTTGTGTTAAATTTTTCACAACAGAGACATCTCTGACAATCTGGGGTTCAGCCATTAGAAACTTGTCAATCTCATTCCTAAACCCACCATATTGGCTTCTATGTGTTCATTTTATAGGATACGGTGTACATTATTTTCATGGCTTTCCTGTTTATAAACTCTAGTAGATGCTCACTTCCCTTATCCCTCACTTCATTATTGTAAGGTAATTTATTTCATTCATACATTTTCTCTGTTTCTTCTGTTAATGTTGGAACATACATATTTGAATGATCTTTAACTTGTCGTGTTTTGAGAGCCTTATTGTAATCTTGATTGCTTAATCTGATTTATTCTTGAACACTAAAACCTTGAAGATTAACCATCTCACTTTTCCATACATGTCCTACCCTTTTTATAGTACTATTTTAATACATTTACTGCCCCATGTCTCTCATGAGTAAACCTCCATTTACCTCTCTTGCACATCTCTCTGCTATCTGTTTTACTGTCTACATCGAGCACCACTCATCATGTTCGTCAATATGGCTCTATATGCTAAAACTTGACACCCCTGTTGTTAACTGCTATAAAACCAGACCTCAGAAGTCTAGGCAACAATTTTGTAAAAGCTACGGGATCTAGCAAAAGGAAGTGATGGTGAGATGAAGTTTCATGAACTATATTGGCTATGATGACCTCCTTACCTTGCATAAAATGATGCATGGTGAGTTAGTTTTGATCAACGTTATTTACCTGTTGTCTCTCCCAACAGTATCAATATCAATACTATGATTATAATTATTACTGGTGGTGGACAAGCAACATATTTGAGGTAATGTTTGCATCTCCAGCTATACCAGTAACACATTTATTGATTCCTCTGAATTATGTGCAAATAATTACTGACACAGTTGCAATGTGTGACATTCACAGGCTAGGTTGACATACAATATCATTTTAAAATGATTCGCTCATGAATTATGTTTAAATCTTACTGTCTGTTGCTTAGGCTGCTGGGCTGAGCTATGTGACTAATGGAAACATGGACTACTGGAGTAAGTATTAATTAGGTTGTGCAGTGATTAAGGTCTGTGCCGAGTCTAACGGAATCCACTGTAAATCTACACACCTAGATCCAAATATATACCTGGCTTTAACCCATGATCTTCGCAATGTTTATAATTACATAATTTATGTTGGGGAAATGTTTTCGCTTAATGCGGCAATTTTTTAGGAACAAGTCTGTTGTGTTAAACAAGGAATTGATTGTTAAAAACCCTGTATAATGGATGATATTGGTCGTGAAAGCCTACGTGTTAAACTGAAGAAATTGCAGGAATACGATTACTTTGCCGACGGACTACACTTACATGTGTAGTGACATAGAATCAGTCACGTAGCGCTGGCTGCTGGCAGGGAAGGGGATATGCAGCTTACAGCGGCCCTGACTGACATCATGCCAGGTGATAGACCAGAGAGGGATCTAGGGAAGGGTCACGGAAGGGGCACACCAAGAACCCGCTAGTAGGTTCCAGAAGGGGGTGTGGCTGGGGGCGGTATAAGAGGAGGCCCGGAAGGGAACCTCGGGGCTGTCGTTTGGAGTGGGATCCCGTCGTGCTGCTGGAGTCTTCACCGTCATCTCCGTCTTCACTATCTCGGCATCGCCAGTCAGGCAGTCTACCAGCTGTCCTGACTGGGAACTGTGGTTACTAAGTGTTACTGTCAGGCCATATTAATAAACAGAGTGCCTCCTACTCTTAGTGTCTCTGAGTCAGTCACGACACATGTAAAAAGTTTGTGGATAACAGGAAGCAATTTTGAAATTGTGGATGGAAAAAATGCAGATTATCCTGGATAATGGGATGTAGAGAACAGACGTTTTCACATACTCTTGATTTCACAGATAGAAGTTGCATGTACTAGGGTATCGGTTAGATGAGTTCTGTATAACCACACATTTCCTCATCTGCACCCCATTCCTAGATAAACCACCTGTAAATAATGGAAAATCAAGGAAATTGGAAAATCGCTTACTCAATGATGGACTTCTGGATACCTGGTTTTGGCAGAATGGTGTCCTCGGGTAAGTATTATTTGTGTGTATCGCACCCCAGAATGCATGTACTGAGGTTAAACGAAGTTAGGGCATTGCTTATATTTCACCAACTCTTTAGGTCCAAGTAGCAGTGTCTATTGTATTGGAACAAAATCTGGGTGAATCTTAAGCGATCATTCAAATGGGGCCACATGATTGTATGGTTGGCGTTTTAAATACGTTTCTCAACATTTTTTATTGTTTCTTTAAATATTTGGTTTATAAACGTGTTCCTTAAATATAAATATTTTTTTAAATTAAAGGATTGTATGGCACGTCTCTTAAAGGCCAGACAAGACAATCACATTCACAGCCACTGCCCCTGAAATCAACTCCCACTGGATTGCCGTTGCCTTTTCCATATCAAACACAAGTGGATTATCGGTGGATTATACCAGCACTCCGGTATGTATGCGTTATTTTCTCAAACCTCTTCCCTCATGACATTTACTTGTTTTTATCATCATCATCATCGGCCTGACTAATTTACTGCTGGATAAAAACCTCCTCGTTGTCGCCATCACGTACGATTCTGTAATGTAACACACTTTAACTTGTCGTACGTGGAGTGGGTAGATGGGACAGCCACTGCCTCACGTTATTCTGTGACCTTTCCATCATTTTTTCTCCTGCACCTTGGCCATGAATTTCATTCAAAATTTCCGCGACCAAAAACCCACCCTGAAGTGAATTTGGACGTTGTACTCAATGTGCTCATGTGGGGGGATTAAAATTGACTTTGCTTTTTTAGGATTAACAGGCGACAGCCAAATCTGGCTGTCGCCTGATGAAGCTAGTTGAAATTACTGGCGAAACGTCGTACTTAGATTGTAAATTACTCTTTGGTTCTTTCGGTAAAGTCACGTATAAAGATAAAATAATAAATTAAATAATAGCATACGACGTTTCGATTGCAACACAAGCAATTATCATCAGGTATAAATGAAATAGAAACAAAAATCTAATCAGAAACATATAAACAGACATATAAGCAGACAGATATCACAGAGCTACATAGAGAGAGAACACACATAGGCACAAAGAGAAAGAACGTCTCTGTGACGAGGCCTTAAATAGAGAGAGGGGGCGGGGCAGAGAGGGAGGGGTTAGAGAAAATTAGCATGTCAATGAGTAGCACGACTAGTGATAAGGTGAAAAAGTACACTAAATCAAATAAAACCTAGCAAAATTTCGAAGCTTAATGCAATGCAACACAGAGGGTCAGTCAACACACAACCAGGCTATGCGTTGCGTGTTGACCGACCCTCTGTGTTGCATTGCATTAAGCTTCGAAATGCTAATTTTCTCTAACACCTCCCTCTCTCTCCGCCCCGCCCCCTCTCTCTATTTAAGGCCTAGTCACAGAGACGTTCATTCTCTTTGTGCCTATGTGTGTTCTCTATGTATCTGTGATATCTGTCTGCTTATATGTCTGTCTATGTTTCTGGTTAGATTTTTGTTTCTATTTCATTTATACCTGATGATAATTGCTTGTGTTGCAATCGAAACGTCGTATGCTATTATTTAATTTATTATTTTATCTTTATACGTGACTTTACCGAAAGAACCAAAGAGTAATTCCTGCACTCACGAAAGCTCCAAATTAAGATTGAACCACTTCTACGGGGAAGTTTTAAGTTTGTCTTTTTGTCTCTTTCTGGGTTTTTTGTTTTCTCTCTCTGCTTGTGTATCGATCTTCGTGTTTTTTGTCTTTAAAATTTCACACTTAACTTCTAATTTAGCAATTTTTGGAAGATCATAATCAACCAGGCTATGCGTTAATTGTGTGTTGACCGAAACCTCTGTGTTGCATTGCATTAAGCTTCGAAATGTTGCTAGGTTTTATTTGATTTAGTGTACTTTTTCACCTTACCACTAGTCGTGCAACTCATTGACATGCTAATTTTCTCTAACCCCTCCCTCTCTCTCTGCCCCCGCCCCCTCTCTCTATTTAAGGCCTCGTCACAGAGACGTTCTTTCTCTTTGTGCCTATGTGTGTTCTCTCTCTATGTATCTCTGTGATATCTATCTGCTTATATGTCTGTCTATATGTTTCTGGTTAGATTTTTGTTTCTATTTCATTTATACCTGATGATGATTGCTTGTGTTGCAATCGAAATGTCGTATGCTATTATTTAATTTATTATTTTTTCTTTATACGTGACTTTACCGAAAGAACCAAAGAGTAATTCCTGCAGTCACGAAAGCTCCAAATTAAGATCAGATTGTAAATGTTGTGGCTTGGCTCTCCAACACACCGGTGTGCTGTACTAGTGACGAATTGGCATGTTCTGTTTACGTGACAACCCTTACTAGTTGGCTGTGTCGGGTGGTGGCAAGTTTTAAAGACACATTTATATATTTACGCGATCTAATCCAAAAAACATTTTATGTATGGTTATTGCTATTCTTTTGTTCTTTCGGTAAAGTCACGTAGATATAAAATAATAAAAATTATAAATTACTAAATTTCATAAAAACCTAAAACTCACGACGTTTCGATCGTCATCAGGCAGAGAAAAATGGGCAGCAAACCGCCAACTGCAACTGTTTATAAAGGCTTGAAATGGGCGTAGCTCAAGTATCAGAAGGAGTGGGGACAAGTGCTGCGGGGCAGCCTGAGTGGACGAGCCAAAGCTGTGAGTGGGTGGGGCATAAGAGCCGTGGAGCCAGCCCTTAGCAGCGAGCGGCGCAGTCCAAGTGTGTCAGCAGTATGGGGGGGGGGGGGCAGGCAATGCTAATGTAGAAGAAAAAGGGGGAAAGAGAGGGGGCGGAGCATGGATAGAGAGAAGGGGCAGAGATAGGGGGAAGAGACAGGGGGAGAGACAGGGAGAGAGAAGGGGCAGAGATAGGTGGAGAGAGAGGGGAAGATACAGGGGGGAGAGAGAGGGGGCAGAGATAGGGGAGAGACTTTTGACTTTTAAACAACTTTTATTGCCGCCAGCAGCAAAAGCACCGGAGGCGATTTCAATATGAAATACAGTCACCAGCAAACGAAAGAAAACAAACGTTACATATCGTTACAAATCCACGCGCTGTGGTGCTGAAAGCACCGCAAACAACACAAAAAGTCACGTGGTTGTGGTGTCATCGCGCACGCCACGGTGACGAGCGAGCGCTTCAGAAGGTGAACACGAGGGTGCCGTCCACGCCGGTGCAGAGGGCCTTTCCGGCTCCCCAGCGTTCGAAGAATACGCGCACATCACCAACGTGTGTGTGGTACGCGTGCTCCAGGCGGAGCCGCGCCTTAAGCAGGCCTCTGAACACTGGAAGTACAGAGCAGCCGTCAGTATCACCCTCCAGCATCTTTTTCCTCGTTCTGTACACCGCCATCTTCGCTTGCGCGCAGGCGAAGTCATGGCGCTTGTTTGCCAGGTAAGGCACCCCATATACGAAGCTGCTGTTGTAGAAGGGCACCCCCAGTTTCCTGAAGATGTCCCCCAAAAGGCGGAACATTGGTTTGAGCCGCTGGCAGTGTAAGTATTGGTGCGGCAGATCCTCCCTGGCACCGCAGGAAATGCACAAGTCTGTTACCCCTGGCGAGATTCGGCTGAGCCACACGGCCGATGGCAACGTGCAGTGTGCCAACCTCCACTGGAGGTCACCGCAGCGTTTGGCTACGGGAGACTTGTACATTAGTTTCCACTGAGGGGCGGCTGCAATGAGGGGAGAGAAATGGTCTCTCCATTTTGTGTCCGGTAGGTCGGCCAGGTCCCGGGAATGCAGCGCCTTTACGCAGCACGTGTAGAGCGCTGTGTTTGGGGCACTCTTGAGGGGCACGTTGCTGCAGCCTCGGAGCTTCAGGAGCTTGTCGGGAGTCGCCGTGGCCAGGGGGCTTGGTGCAGGAGAAACATAACTCTGGGAAAGAGGAGGGCGGGGGAGGGCCGCCACCATCCCCCGGTGCTTCCAGTTTAAGGTGCAGCTCCTTTATGGCGTGGAGTACGTTGCGCAGCAGCTTCTCCCCAGCGAGCATGGAGCGGAGCCCTGCGGTGTTGGCGATCTCAGCTGCGGTCTTCCACTTGGGCTGGTGGGTCTGCACGAGGTGGAAGACTTTTCGCAGCCCTGCTGATGTGAGGCGTAGAGCCAGGGTCTTCTCTCCTCTGATTCCCTGGAAAAGGTTGTTGCAGAACAAGGGCTCGTTCAGGAACTGCGCGAGGTTGTAGGGCGCGCGTGTTCTGCTCCACTCGAAGCTCCGCCACGCGTCCAAGAGGCTCTGGTGATAACTTGGCAGCCTCGTGTAGTCGACCAGGCTCAGGTCCATCAGGAAAAGCTCCTTTCCTTACCCCAGGCACCCCCCTGCATTTCTCAGCAGGGCGAGGGCCGGCGACTTCCAGGGTAGCTCCTCCCGGTCGTACAGCAGCCGTCTGACAGCCATGATCCTGAAACTCATGATCCTGGCGGCGACGTCCACCAGACGCTGGCCGCCCTCGCTCACCGGCAGACAGAGAACGTCTGGCCTGAGCCAGTGCTTCCCGTGCCAGACCAAGTGAGCCAGTGAGCGGTTGACTCTGGTGAGTAGCCAAGCAGGAGGCTGGAGGGCCTTGGCCTTGTGCCACAGCACGGATGCAGCCAGGGTGTTAGCGACAAGCACTCGTCCCCTGAATGACATCTGCGGCGCGAGGCGTGCCCATGTCAGTAATTTAGCTTCGATTGTGTCGGCTAGCTCGGTCCAGATGTTCAGAGCAACATGTGGTTTCCCCAGGTAAACCCCCAGGTACTTGACTCCATCGTCCCGCCAAATGACTCCTCCTGGGAGGAGCACAGAGCGAATTCCGCTTTGCGGCCCTAAACACAGGGCCTCGCACTTGGGCCAGTTGACCCTGGCGGAGGAGGCCCTCTCGTACACTGCAACCGCCTGGCAGAGCGTGGATACGTCATGTGCGCCGTTGAGGACGACGCATATGTCGTCTGCGTAAGCCGAGAGTTTTACGACTGTGTTCTCAGGTCCCGGGACTTTGAAGCCAGACAGATTTCGTCTCAGGTGGCGTAGCAGTGGCTCAATGGACAGGGTGTACAGCAGCCCCGAGAGGGGGCATCCCTGTCTGACCCCCCTCATCACAGGGAAAGGGGCGCCGAGCCGCTGGTTTATCTTCAACAGGCTGGATGTGCCCGTGTACAGGAGCCTGACATGCGAGATGAAGGCCTGGCCGAAGCCGAGCGACGTTAGGAGTTTGTCCAAGTACTCGTGGCTCACCCTATCAAAGGCCTTCTCTTGATCCAAGAAGAGGAGGCCTAAGTCCATGTTGTGCGCTTCTGCAAGGGAGATTATGTCTCTGACCGTACCGATGTTGTCGTATATGCACCGGCCGAGGATGCAATACGACTGTTCCGGCAGGATCGGCTGACCCAGCACTGTCTTGAGACGGTTTTCCAGCACCTTGGAGAAGATTTTGTAGTCGGCGCAC